ATGTTGGGGAAGAGTCAACACGGCTTTTGTAAAGGGAAATCATGCCTCACCAATCTATTAGAATTCTTTGACCTCCGTGACTTGAGCCCGTGGCGTCTGGGAGCTACAAGGCCCCCCACTGCCCGTGGTGGCTGGGAACTGTGGGGGCCCCAAGCTCCCAGCCACCATGTCCCTGCAACTCCTAGGCGGGGGTGCCCTGGAGCCCGGAGCTGCCGTGGGCAGCGGGTCCCCCAAAAGCTCCCAGCTACTGCAGGTGCCGAGGGTGCCCCACTGTTCCCAGCCACCTTTGGCGGGAGGGGTGCCCTGAGCTTGGAGCCACAGGCAGTTGGGGACCCCCATGAGGTTGTGTGGGGACCCCACAGCTCCCCATTTTGTCATGCATGTTTTTAGTAAAAGTCACAGATCGGCCACAGGCTTCCGTGAATTTTTCTTTATTGCCCGTGACCTGTCAGTGATTTTTACTAAAATATGCATGACAAATCTTGGCCATACTCATAAATAAGGATCCATTTTAGTCATGGATATTTTTAATAAAAGTCATGGACAGATCACGGACAGTAAACAAAAATTCATGGCCCATGACCTGTCCATGACTTGTACTATATACCCCTAACTAAAACTTGGGCTAGGGGCCATGGGCCCTCTGGGGGAGTGGTCCGGGAGCTCCGCAGGTTTTGGAGGAAGTGGCCCGGAACCACCTGCTGGTGCTGGGGTGGGTGGGGCTCCACCCCTACCTGGCTCCACACAGCTCCCTGGAAGCAGCCGGCATGTCCCTGCAGCTCCTAGGGGGGCTCTGTGTGCTGCCCCTGCCACAAGTGCCGTCTCCGCAGCTTCCATTGGCCGGTAACAGCAGCCAATGGGAGCTGCAGGGGCGGTGCCTGCAGTAGGGGCAGCGTGTAGAGCCCCCTGGCCCCTCTGCCTAGGAGTTGCAGGGACATGGTGGCCACTTCTCGGGAGCCCCCCAAGGTAAGCATTGCCCTGAACCCCTACCCTAGCCCTCAGCCCCCTCCCACAGCCAAACTGCTGCTGCTGCTGGGCCCCAGAGCCAGCCATACCGGCTGCTGCAGAAGTCATAGAGGTCATGGAAAGTCATGGAATCCATGACCTCTGTGACAGACACGCAGCCTTACTCATAAATGTTCTGGAAAAGGGCATAAATAGGGAGGTGGCAAAGTTTGCAGACAGTACAAAATTACTCTAGATAATGCAGTAGTGGTGTAGCTGTGTTAATCCCAGGATATTAGAGAGGGAAGATGGGTGAGGTAATACCTTTTATTGGACCAACTTCTGTTGGTGAGAGAAACAAGCTTTCAAACTTACACAGAACTCTTCTTCAGGTCTGGGAAACTGACTCAAAGCATCACTGTCAAATACAAGTATTTGAACAGACTGTTTAGCATAAGCAGATAACTCACATTTCAAAGGGTCATTAAAGGTGAAGAGGCCCATGAACACTCCTCCAGTTATAGGGAGGAAAGGAAAGGGAAGGGGAGAGACACAGCTGGGGGTGGGGGTTGTTAGTGGGTTACAGTTTGTTGTAATACGTCATAAATCCAGTGTCTCTATTCACTCCATAATTTTTAGTGTCTAGCAAAGTTATGAATTTAAGCTCACAAGCTCATCTTTTGAAAGTGTTGTGCAGGTTTCCTTTGAGGATGAGGACTGATAGGTCAGGTACAGAGTGATCACTTTATGAAAAGTGTTCACCCACTGATGACGGTGTTTTTACCTTTTATCAATTTTCTGTGTGAGTTCATTTGAGAGCATAGTGATTGTCTGGTCTCAAACACATGGTTGCTATTGGGGCAGTTAGTGCCCTGTATGAGGTACACCAAATGCTTTGATGGGAATGTGTGGGACCCATGGATCTTGAAAGGTGTGTATGTGCGCGCGCGCGTGTTGATCATTGTAGCTGTGGAGATATGTCTGCAGGTTTTGCATCTGTTGTTCTGGCAGGGTCTGGTGCTGCTTTAAGTTGATGTGTCCCGCTCTGTGGGGAGCTTGCTTCTGATGATGAGCTTGGAGAGATTAGGGGTTGTTTGAAGGCCATACTTGATGCAGACCCCATCCTGAAAGAAAATCTTCCCTGAACCCCCTCTTATGACCTGTTCACCTTAGAAAAGAGACTAAGAGGGGATATGCTAGAGGTCTATACAATTAGGAATGGTTTGGAGAAAGTGAATAAGGAAGTGTTATTTACCCCTTTACATAACCCCCCCCAAAACTAGGGGTCCCCCAATGAAATTAATATACAGCAGGTTTAAAACTAAACATAAGGAAGTACTTCACACAATGCACAGTCAACCTGTTGAACTCTTTTCCAGGGGATATTGTGAAGGCCAAATGTTTAACTGGATTCAAAAAAGAATTAGAGTTCATGAAGGGTATGTCCAATCAATGGCTATTAGCCAAGATGGTCAGGGATGCAACCCTATGTTGTGGGTGTCCCTAAACCTCTGACAGCCAGAAGTGGGAGTGGTCAAAAAGGGATGGAATCGCTAGATAATTGCCCTGTTCTGTTCATTCCTTCTGAAGCATCTGGGCATTGGCCACTGTTAAAAGACGGGATAGAGGACTAGATCGATTATTGGTCTGACCCAGTGTGGTCATTCTGATGTTTTCTTGTCTAAGCTTTTGTGTATCCAGATTGGGTAGTTAGACACACCAGATTTGTGCAGACAAATATGGTTTTTACATATGCAAGTTTAGTCATGAAAATTCATGTGCAAAATTTCAGGTAAGTCTTTAGAATATATTTTAGAAAGTTTGTCCCACAAGGCATTAATTATAGCTAGTCGTGTTAAAAATCATGTGGATATATTTAAATTTGTAGATCCATAAACTATGCGTTGTGTCCACTAATGAAGTGGGACTGTATTTCAAGAGGAATTATATGTTGGCTTTCTCTTATCTGAAAGATATTTTCAATACAGAATCAATAACTGATGCAACATAGTTTTTAATAACTTTCATCCTGAGGCAATTTTTAGTTTGAGGTTTATAATTCAATTTAAGCATCGTACACAATGAGCACTCTGGGGCCATGTCATTATGGCCCATTGGTTCACAACTCTGTGGCCAACCATATGCTACTTAGTTGGTAATATTTTGAACATTCCTAAAACAGTTGGGTTTGGAAAACTTAGAATATATTTTATTTGTGCATCTTTTAACTTTAGATTAAATAATCTGAAATATTATTGTTTTGAAGCTTTTTCTTCAGTAATTATATTTTACAGTTGGCATTTTTGCATTTTCATGGTTTATGTATCTACACTATATTCAGTTTATTTTGGTGATGTTTTTTCATCTTTTCATTAGAGGTAATTAGCTTGAGTTAGGAAGCAGTTGTGACTAATCAGAGCCTAGCTTAAAAAATCACAGCATCTCAGGAAGTGTATTATCAATTTTAGTTTGTCTTTTTTACTCTAGAAATCATATATAATTTAAACATTCTGTTAATAATAATAATAAATATTAAAAATACTGTATTTGGGGAAGTTGTGTGTTTGCCTGTATTTCAGTATAACTTCCTTTCAAGGTCGAGAAGGAACATAAAACCTTTGTGTATTTGATCTGCTCTAATTTTAAAATGTTCTGTTTTTAAAAATGTTTGCTTTTCTTGTGCACTTAAGTATACATTTGTTTAGTAAATAAAATGATCAGTTTTGTAATTATATTTATTTTTGCTTCTATAGTTTATTAAAGTTTTAATTGCTCCCTTAAAATTATTCCACTTTGTAAGTATTTAGCAAAGTGGTGGTGTGGCCAACAATATGTAATGCTTCTGCCTTTTGGTATAAACGAATGCAGGGGTTCTCAAACTTCATTGTACCGCGACCCTCTTCTGACAACAAAAATTACTACCTGACCCCAGGAGGGGGGACCAAAGCCTGAGCCCGCCCATGCCCCGTCACCCTGGGTAGGGGGCCAAAGCTGAAGCTCAAAGGCTGCAGCCCCGGGCAGCTTTGTCCCCAGGCAGTGGGACTTGGGCTTCGGCCACAGGTAGTGGGACTCGGGCTTCGGCTTCAGCCCTGGACCCCAGCAAGTAACAGCAGCCCTGGCCCATTAAAACAGGGTCACGACCCACTTTGGGGTCCTGACCCACAGTTTGAGAACTGCTGAACTAATGTATTCCCCCCTCCTCCTCTCGCCAAAAAAAAATCTGGGTGGAAGAGAGGGGTGTAATACCATAATTCTCTTTAAGGGGCATTTTTTTAAACAATAAAGCTATTTTCAGTCTGCATGTTGAATCACGCCATTCAGTTGAGAGACATAAATAAATAGTGTTCTGGAGCAAATACCTGTAAGTTTAGAAATGCAGAGTGATGTATGAAGTATATGTATCTTTGAGGACTTAAACCTATGCTTAATGGTAAGAATCAGATTTGGTGAACACAGGTGTGAGACCAATAGTTAAGCCGACCTAACTCCCGGAGAAGATGCGGCTAGGTCAATGGAAGGATTCTTCCATCAACCTAGCTACTGCCGCTTGGAAAGGCGGATTAGCTACAGTGAAAAAATCCCTCCTGTTGCTGTAGGAAACATCTACTATGTGGCACTACAGGAGCACAGCTGCAGTGCTGTAGCGCCTGTAGTGTAGACAAAGTCTTAAATATGTAATAACTCAGTGGGATGACTAATGTGCATCAGTGTTTGCAGGATTGGGGCCTAAGTGTACAAGTATCTTTTTCAAAAAACTTTGTTTCAGCAATATATTACCATAGAGCTTTGCTGAAGCAAATAGTAGTTCTTTTCACCAGATTGCCTGAAGGCTCAGTCCAACACCACTGAAGTCAACGGGAGTTTGGCCATTTACTTCAATTGGAGTTGGTACAGATCTTCAGTGAGCAAGTACTTTTTTCCTTACGTACTTTAGAAATCTCCTTCTGGAGGAGGATGGCAGGGGTAGGGACTCAGCATTGAAATTTCATATTTGTTTAGAATATTAGGTGTGTCAGAACAACATGTATTAAAACTTTATTTTTATCTGGTTTAAGGGTCGTGTGGTGGAAAATATTTCCAAAAGGTGTGGTGGATTCCTGAGACAACTTAGTTTGAGAGGATGTCTTGGTGTTGGAGACTCCGCTTTGAAGTAAGTAATCTATCCACAACTTGATTTAGTCATATTTGTACAAATCTTAATGACTTAATGTAGTCACTCAATGTGAATTCCAGTTTGGGCAGAGAATAGTTAATGTTTTCTTGAAATGAATTAAGTAATGAGAACAGTGAGAGATCATTTTTTGTTTTCTGAGCTATTACTGATTTTGAATATTTTAAATGCTTGACAGTGGAACATATTTTTGCAGACTAGTTGTTTGCACCTAAAAAAAAAAAGTTTTCTGGTGTAAGTATTCAACAAATTTGTGGTGAACAGTTTATTTCTTCTCTTTTCATGACTAGTCTTAAAATATAAACCATGTTTTCTCAATAGAAGCCTTGTTGATTTTAAATAGCTAAGCCATATATAGAACCAACCAAATTTTCTTTTCAGCATAAAAAAAAAGTTGGCAAGAAACAATGCATTCTTTTTCAAAATGAAAAACCCATACTATTAACAGAATTTCTTTATAAAGAGTACGGGGAAAAAGCAAGAAACAACCAAATTTTCTGTTTCAAATAGAACATACTCTGCTTTATAAAACAAAGTTAATGCTGGAATTAGTCAAAAATTTCCTATTTAAAATGAAAAATTATGTTGGAATCAATAAAAATATAAAACTTACAACAATGATCATGTAGGAACAAAACAACATCTTTTAAGGAAAAAAGCCATGTTTTATAAAAGGAAAGTTTGTTTTCCAGAGAGTAAAAAGGAAAGGAAAAAAACAGTTAAACCCAACTAACATTAATATTCTGTATGAAGATGTCTGGAAACCTTTTTAACCTTTACAGCTGTTTTAAAAACTGAATAACTTTATAGTTTACTAAAATATTCTCAAGAGTAAACCTTAGTGTTTCCTTTTTTTTTTTTTTCCAGTGAGAAGCTCTTGTCCTTCTGGAATAACTTACCTTACGTCAATTATCTGCAGTGTAACTTTGACATCTTAGTATGCTTCCATTTAGATGAGCAGTGAGGCCCATAGCAGAGAAATGAGATGGGCCATAATTTCATTTAAGAGCACTTAAATAACTTCACTGAGTCTCTTCAAATTCTGAGGCTGGTTTCGTCTTTTTTCAAATGTTGGGATTTGTTGAGAGAATCAGGTCCCCTACCATCCCCGCCCCTTCCCTGTTATGAATACTAACAGTGTTGACATTTATAACTGTTTATTTGTGGTTCAGATTACAGGCAGTTGCTGAAAAGATGTATGAGGTTATACAGATAATTTAAACAGGTACACAGAATATTCATGAGCTCATTCAAGTAAATGATGCAAACAGGAAATAACAGAGAGTTAGATGACATGGTTTACGTACTGGTGGCCTGCGTACACTACTGCTTCCATAGTGACTGCCATTGGTGGAGCTGCACTGGTGACAGCAACTAGTGGGAAAAGCCTGTAGCCTGTATACACTCCAAGTATAGGTGGGATGATGTAGTCAAGAGAAAATCCAGTAAATAGTAAGTGACCTAAGCTTTCTTTAGGGAAATAGTTAGGAAGATTGCTTTCATTTTCAAATTATTACTGTATATACTCATTCATAAGCCGAATTTTTTTAGTAAAAAAGGGAAGCACCAGAGAAGGGGGTCGGCTTATGAACGCGTATATATAGAGAGAGAGAGGTGGGACACAGCCCCTCCCCCTGACAGAAGGAGCAAGGAGAGGCAGCACAGCCAAAAGGGAAGAGGCGGGGCCAGAGTCTCTCCGCTTCTGGCCACGCTGCTCTCCCCCCAGCCTCCGAAGCAGCTGCAGCTCCGGGGCTGGCAGGTTGCAGCCGTGCCGCTCGGCCCCGTCCCCCAGAGCAGGCTGTGGCCGCGCCACCCGGGCGCCAGAGCACACTGCGGCCGTGCCGCCCGGCCCAGCCCGCTGGAACATGCTGCAGCTGTGACGCCCGGTCAGGCCCACCGGAGCAGGCTGCGGCTGCGCTGCCCAGCCAGCCGGAGCAGCTCCAGCCAGGCCAGAGACATCCTCCCCTGGACTTCCCCAGATAAGGGATGGGGAGAGTGTGGGGGTCCCAGGCTAGAGGTGGGTTTATGTTGGGGGTGGTCACAGGGTTTACTCCCCTGACCCCCAGGTTCTCCCCCCAAAAAATTTCCCCACCAGTTGCTATCCCAGCCCGTCAGGGTAAGCAGCTGGTGCACCGGGACACTTTGTTTACTTAGGTTTACCTTTGTGCCTGCCGACGCTCAAGGTAAACAAACCATCTCAGCCTGCCAGCGGCTTATCCTGCTGGCCCCTGAATTATAGGGTCGGCTTATGAACGGGTCATAAACATTTTCCATTTTTACTTATCCATCTTGGGCGGGGGCGGGGGGGGGGGGTGTCGGCTTATAAACAAACCGACTTATGATCGAGTATATACAATAATCTGAAAATACCTTTCTGTTTAACTGTCTTTCTATGCTGTTCTGTTTTCAGATCTGCTTTCTCACCCCTTTTGTTTTACTATGCTTGTGTTAAAAAATAATTCCCAGTCACCGAAAGAGATGTCAGATGCATAAATATTGCTTGGGTTGAGGTACCTGTATCAGAAAATCCACACAGGTGTTTTGCAGGACACGGTTTTCCCAATAGGTTTACTATTCCTACAGTTTATTGCAGAATGGAAAAAATATTGAGAGTAATCAACAGATGTCTCATTTGTCTAATAAATGTAAGTTTCCCTCCAGTAAATACTTGAACTTTGGAATAGCCATTTTGAAGATTCAAGTGGAAACTATCAACCATATAACTATAAGCTGTTTCTTCTCTCCTCCCACCCCCTTGTTTTCAATCCACACTGGAGAGCCAGCAACTTGTTACCAGCTGAGTGTGTAGTTGCATCTGTTAACCAAGGCAAAACTCCCCAGGCAAAGCTGTTTTTGTGTGTGTACCTCCAACTGTGCTCATAAAATTCATGAAGTTGGAGGAAATCTAGATATAAAAATACTGTTCTGAAATGCTGTGTAGCTGAACATTTTCTTTTCATCTGTGCAGCCTGATAAAGCCCTGGCTGGGATGATTTAGTTGGGGATTGGTCCTGCTTTGAGCAAGGGGTTGGACTGAATGACCTCCTGAAGTCCCTTCCAACCCTGATATTCTATGATTCTATGATATTTATGTATTTCCTCCAGGTAATTAGGGTAATGTTATATACAGGTTTTTAACATGATAGTGATAACAATCATCTTTACAATTCAGACCCAGCTGATGGCAGTACTTCATTCAGTTGCATATATTATAGCTCATGAATGACCAAAGTATAGGCCTAGGGGACCTGCATGGATAGTCCAGTTGCTTTAGGGCCTCATCCTATAGCCTGCCGGGCATCTTCACTTCCCTTTGACTTAGGAAGGATCGTCCCCTAATGTGGCCCATTTGACGAATCAGTAATACAACAGAAAAAGGAGTGATCCTCTGCCCAGCAGCTTAACATGAGTCAAATATCCAAATGTGGTGATACTTGCTCTCTTCTATTCCTATTAATGTTTTGAGTTAATAGGTGTAAAGCAGGACAGATCTAGGAGACAACAGAAGTAGACGTCTCCCTAAAATCAAGTTTGAGGGAAAATGATGGGAGCTACATTGGTTTTGCAAGTTAACAGAGACAAAACTTACAAAAGAACTCTGGCAAAAGAAAGAAGGAGCCCTTGTGACAATTGTGTCTGAAATTTACTTTATAGTTACTTTGTGGCCCACATCTCAAGGTTGTTGGCTGTTTCTGTATATTGTATTAGATTAAGAGGTTGAGGGGAGAGTGCGCTCTAGTGGCTGAATTATAACTTGCTCCATATAAAATTTCATTAACTTTTTATTGCTGTTTTAGGACGTTTGCACAGAACTGTAGAAACATTGAACATTTGAATCTAAACGGATGTACAAAAATTACTGACAGGTAGGTGAAAGGCTTTTTCCATGTGATAGTGAAATTTGAAAAAAGAAGTGACTGAAGATATTTTTAGTGTGTCTGCTGTTTTGCAGCACGTGTTATAGCCTTAGCAAATTCTGTACCAAGCTGAAACATCTGGATCTGACATCCTGTGTATCTATTACAAACAGCTCTTTGAAAAGTTTAAGGTAAGAATATTTATTCATGTTAAAAGACTGTTTTGAAGAACATTTACTGAAATCACATATTTCTCAATATTCCTTGAAACTTAATACTGTGTATCAGCTTCATATATGCACTATACCTAGCATTTCTAAAGGTGTAATGTATAGTGCTTATGTGTGGTCTTGTCCCATGGTTTTTCTGTAGAGCCCTGGCACAGTTATCCATCATGAATTTGTAACAGCATGCTTCATTTGGGTTTTTCACTGTTATCACTATTCTAAGGTTGGATTTAACTTTATGCATTTTTTTAAATTCTCCCAGTGAGGGTTGCAGAAATCTGGAACATTTGAATCTTTCCTGGTGTGATCAGATTACGAAGGATGGTATTGAAGCACTGGTGAAAGGGTGCAGTGGACTAAAAGCACTATTTCTTAGAGGTTGCACACAGGTACATAACTGCTTGGGTGTCAAGATAATCCTTTAGGAGTACAGTTTATGTTTTGGTATTTTGAAAACCACCTTGAATTTAGATGATAATGTTTTTGTTACAGAGTCTTTTTGTTTTTTAACACTATAAAGTGTGTACATTTGTAGCGTGCTGCTTTTAATGCCTTCCTTGCTAATTTATTTTTTATTCATTAATACAGTTGGAAGATGAAGCACTGAAACACATTCAAAATCACTGTCGTGAACTTGTAATCCTGAACTTGCAGTCATGCACAGTATGTATTTTAAACTTTGAAAGAGTACATTCTACTTTTATAGCACCTTTTATCTAAGGATCTCAAAGCATTTTTCGGACATTGATGAATTCAAGTGTTATGCTTTTGAATAGTTGGGACAGCACATTTCTACAAGTCACAGAATATTTCAGTCACAGTGTTGATAAAATAGCTGAGTGGAACATGGCCTGTGCTGCCTGGAGGCCATAAACCAGCTGAATATTTCCACTGCTAAATGCGGATTTGGAACCTTTGGGCTTTCCATTATTTTTATTTGTAGATGGCTTTAGCTTTTAACTAGTAACTGGAATCAGTCAACTGCTATGGACCGTATACAATCAAAGTAACCATGCAGTCTTACTGATGTTATGTTATGCCTGTTCTCCCAGGTCCCAAGTCCGTCATCTGTGATCTATTTTTAATTGTAAGTTCTTTGGGCAGAGACCATGTCTATGAGGTGCTAAGCACATTCTTGTGTGCTGGATATTTAAAAAAAAAAATTTCTAGTACCATTACATCTACTAGATTATGCCAGGACAGCCTTGATAGCAGGAGAAAAAAGCATACATTCTCAACATCATATGGAGGGATTTAGTTGTTCATCTACCTATGAATGGAAATTGCTGCTGTTCATCTAATTCAGTGCATCCCACAGTGCACTGAAAATATATTTGTTTTATGGTGTCATTTTATAAGCCTGATTTTTACTCCACTCTAACTCTGTAAGATGGGGGGAAATCTCCTTTTTGCCTGAAATTTCTAATGGTTACTTACAGAGAAGAGAATTAAAAAAAAAAAAAAAAAAGAGAGAGAGAGAGAAACTTGAGGTTAATTGGCCCATCCATTCTTTGTTTACAGAAGTATGAAAAATTGTAGTTTTTTACTTTTGGAAAAGTTTTCTGCTGTTTATTGCAAGAGCATATCACAAAAACTATTTGGTCTGAAACCTTCAGATCTGTTTTATTCATTATTCCTCAATGAGTACTCCAGCATGGGGCCATTTGTATTAAGGTTTGATGGGAAATTGTGGACTTACTAGATGCCAAAGTCTTGAATATCTTAGAGCACTGCAAACATTACAAGCTATATTAGAGGTCTTGCAGTAGTTAAAAACTAACAGGGTGAGACAGTGAGGCAATTTCCATTACAATCCTTACTTCTTCCCTTTCTTCATGAAGTTTTGCATGCTTATTTTCTTTAAAGATCCAGGGTGGAGATGGAGCTTTCCCCCTTTTTTATTTGCCATATAAAGAAGGCCTGAATTTTTTCCCCCAAGTTGTTGTTCTGTTTGATTTTAACCTTAGAAGTCAGATTTTGCTGGAGGACCTCTGGGAGGTCTCATGGATGTTTATTGTGAACTCTAACATCTTAACTGAAGGGACAAGGGTATAGAAGCTTTTAACAGTCTTTCTGCATCTAAAATGTTAGTCACATAGGTAGATGTTACTACAGACAAAACCCAAGAAGTCTTACTAAGAATCTTCCTCTCAATTGCTCAGCTGCTAAACATTCAGTGTCTAAACTTTTGTGATATCACCATTCCACTATTTCTTCAGCCTATATGGGATCTGAATTCAAACTCAAAAATAATTCAGTATTCTTTGGCAATCTGGCTTCTAAAATGGGACCCTCATAATTGATTTTTTTGTCCTCTGTAAGATTTAATGCATAGGACTATTTTTTTAAGATTGGGTAGCTAATTTGGATATTTGAACTTCTAGAGTTCTGCAGAACGTATAGATTCTGCAACTGCTGCTTGAAGAGTTGGGATAACCTTTCTAATCCAAGTGGTATGCTTCAAAGAATTTAAAAGCTTTACATTCAAAAACAGAATAAATAAAATCTATAAAACTAAGTTTGATTGGAGGAATATGCATTCACCACAAGTGTTTAGAAGTTTCATGGCATAGTGTCTAAGCTTCATAAATCAAATATCTTTAGTTCAAGTAGCATAATACATCCACGGAGATTGTAAAACTCGGTAAAACAAATATTCTGATTCAAGGAATTGAGACGCTTCACCAAACAATGGGCCAGATCCTGGGATGTGGCTAGCCTACATGGAGCACCAGTTTGGAGGCTTTACCTGGTCTTGATGTAGCTCTGTGCAGGCTGGTCTCTCTGCAATTGTTAGACTAGCCCAGTGGTCTCAAACCTTTTTACGCACAAGATCACTTTTTTAATTTAAGTGCAACCCAGGATCTACCCCGCCCCTTCCCCAAAGCCCTGCCCCACTCACTCCATGCTGCCCCTCTTTGTCACTCATTCCCCCCCCCCACCCTCACTCACTGGGCTGGGGCAGGAGGTTGGGGTTTGGGATGGGGTGCGGGCTCTGTGCTGGGGCCAAGGGGTTAGGCATGTGGAAGGGGGCTCCGGGCTGAGCCTGGGGCAGGGAGTTGGTGTGCAGGAGAGGGTGAGGGATGCAAGCTCTGGGAGGGAGTTTAGGTGCAGGAGGGGGCTCCGTGCTGGGGCAGTGTGTTGGGGTGCAGGAGGCGGTTCGGGGTGGAGTAGGGGGTATAGGGTGCTGGCTCCGGGAGGGGGCTCAGGGCTGGTGGTTGGGGTGCGGGATCTTGCTGGGTGTCACTGACCTCTGGTGGCTCCCGATCGGCGATGCGCTGGAGCTAAGGCAGGCTCCCTGCCTGTCCCGGCCCCACACCGCTCCCGAAAAGGGCCAACGCACTCCTGTGGCTCCTGGTGAGGTACATGGCTCTGCGCACTGCCCCTCTCTGCAGGCACCACCCCCGCAGCTCCCATTGCCCATAGTTCCCTGTTCCTGGCCAATGGGAGCTGCGGGGGCGGTGCTTGCAGGCAGGAACAGTGCACAGAGACCCCTGTCCCCTCTCTCCCCCGGAGTCATGGGGGGGTGCTGGCTGCTTCCGGGAGTGGCGTGGGGCCAGGGCAGGCAGGGAACCTGCCTTAGTGACAGCTCTACTGCACCGCTGGACTTTTAGCGGCCGGAAATCGCGATTAACTGGAAGAGTCTCCAGGATCGACCAGTCGATCGCGATCGACCAGTTGGTGATCACTGGACTAGTCTGAATTCTGTGCTAACTTACACCAGGTTACAACAGTCACAGTCACAGCACAGTCAAAGTGCTGCTGAAGATCCAGTCTAGTGCATGACATTCCATGCCTGCTCATCTTCTCTGCTGTATTAGTACTTGAGAGTATGAGTTGTATAAGAGCCCCTACATTGACTCTGTGTCACTGGAAGATTACCTTTACAATGGGGTAATTCTCCATAAGCTGATTGTTAGTTTTGGGGCCATAGTGGACTGGTGGTTTTGCACTGCTTTGAAGAATCTGGCCCAATAGCTTACTGCTATGAAACATGTTCTCAGAGGCTACAGGTGCAGCATGTTGCTTAGATGGTTCATAGGTTAGCACTATGGAGCTTACTAAACTCAGAAGTGCGATCCATCCCTAACAAGATTTGCAGGTTCATTTTTGTGGTCCTTAGAAGTTAGCGTGGCATTGACATGGTAATAAAGTGAACTGGCATTGCCCATGGAGATTATTATTATACCTCATATTCAAGAGGTATTGCATTCAGAATTTATATGATCTGTGGATTGCAAACATCTTTATGAGCACTGTGGATTTAATTGTAACTCTTTCATGAAAAGGATCTAGGTGCTGTGAAATCTTGGATAATTTCAGAGAGAGGGGGTTTGGTTTACAAATTAATGTAGAGTTCCATCCTTCTGCAGTGGTCACCAAGTCAAGTTCAATCATCTGCTTACTACTGTCACAATAATATCATTTTCAAAGACCAAAATAAGAAAAATTCTAGATAGTTGGCGCCAAGTAAAATAATAGAAGCCATTCAGTCAAGAATTTAAGATATATACTCTTTCTACAATGCCGGAAGATACAGGACCAATATTAGGTCTAAAATGGTTCAATATGTCTGTCAAATTAAAATGATTCAAGATGGAAACTCTAAAATCTAGTCTCCTGTCTGTGGATCCAGGAGGATTTACATCAGGTGTAGCTATGAGGTGTACCTGTTTTTTAATCTGCTAGTATTCTAGAATCGTGAAAGCTGCTTCAGTTTTCAGATGGGAAAATATAGTATATTACCAATGCACATCTTTCTAGACTGTGCTAATCTAAGTTCCAAGACTGGGGGGTTTTTTGGCTACCAAAAGTAATGTTTGTGGTAGTGGTTAGTCTCAGAAATAAGGTCATATTAACATATCTAGATAATTGGCTCATAAAAGTAATAAACACAGTCATCTCAAAAGGCAGCAGAAATCACTGTTTTCATCACATGGGAATGACAATCAAAAGAGGAATGAGCTTGTATTAACACAAAGGATAATTTATTTGGGAAACGTTAAGTTACCAAAGTAGGAAAAACACTTCTTTCAGAAAGGAGGATCCAGAAGAACTGACACAATTCATCTTTCTAAATATCATAATCCTTCATTGTGTCCTAGAAGACTATTCATATCATGTGTGCAACTAGTATTGAGGAGCTGTTTTCAATTATGCCTGTTTCAGAAAATGACCATGCAAATTCAACACCAGGCATATCAGAACATAAGTTAGTTCTTTCTATCAGAGTGGCTAAACCAGAACACTATAATGAAAGATTAACTCAAAGGACAGGGAAATGAGAGGTCTGGGTTCTTTTCCTGGGTCTGCTGCAGGCTTCCTGGGTAATTTGGGGGCAAATCTCTGTATTTCAACATACCTTCTGTAAAATGGGGATAAGAAATAGTTGATGACCTGTAATTCTGTTTCTTTGAAGATACCATACAATAGGATTCCCACTCTTGGGTTTTGCATCCCCAGTGCAAGATAGATGGTAATTGCTCTTAGTTTTTGGCAGTCTGTGGCATTGGGCATGAACCCCTCCCTCATCTTTCATTCTAACTGCTAGTGCCTCAACTCCCTCTAGACATTTCTTAGCTAATCCCTAAATTTGTGGAAAGGAAAAGCTTCCCTAAAAATACAAACTGCATGTGATTGTAAATTAAAATATTTGCCACATGAAAACCATGCCAAAGATCGGAGAAAACCCAGCTTCACACTGCCTTAGAACAGAATCTCAAATCTACAAAAAGATGTGGGTGAGCAGGAATCCTATGTGGTGGTTGTCTCAAAGAAGCAGAGTTGTCACCTGGTGTGTGATTTCCTGCTGACGTTTTGTGGATGAAAATAGACAACTTATCATGGTTGCACATTGTTGATCTGATGTCATACTTCATGGCTCTATTTTTATTCCTAGACAAATTACTTGATAGCAGGATAAACTTCAACCTTTTTTATTTGTTGCAGCAAATTTCAGATGAAGGCATTGTAAAAATTTGTAGAGGATGCCACAGACTTCAGTCACTGTGTGTTTCTGGTTGTAGCAACCTTACAGATGCTTCTCTCACAGCACTTGGTCTAAACTGTCCGAGATTGAAGTGAGTATGTCACAGTTTTTATATTCATCATTGGCCTGATCCTGGGAGATTAAGTTTCTCCTATGAAATTCTGAGCACCTTCAACTTCCATTGATTTCCATTGGAGTTAAGGGTGTTCAGCATCAGGGCAAAAACCCAACCCCTGCATATCATGTGAAAAGAGGAAAAAGAATTTAAGCCACAGTTACTAACTGACTCTATATTACTTCATAGATACATACAAAGGATCCTCAGCTGCTGTGAGTTGTCATGTGACAATTTCCACAAGCTGAGGATCTGTCCAATATATACTACATTTTATGGTTCGTTATCTTCTTCTTTTGCCTTACAAATAGTACTGTAAATCAGACCTGAAATACTGACCTAGAACTACACGTAGGTGACATTTTAGGTGTGTTTTGCCATTAGTATGCTATGCTGCCCAGCATTGTTAGACTTAAATGCACAATGGTCTAAATTGTCATCTACACCCAATATCTGATGGGCTCAGCTGAGGTGGAGTGGCTCAAAATGAAGTTAGTTGCAGCTCCCTGATCCTCTGTCTTGTTCTTTCCCAGCATGGGTGTACTTAGAACAGCCTTTAGGTCCAATATGCCAGCCAAGAATAGCTATAGTATAGTAGCACTTTGGCTACATCTCTCCCTCCTTCAGATTGTAATGCCCTTATGCTGAGGGTTGCAGTGGGAATGGCATAGGTGTTGACCGTGCCTGCTCTAAAGCCAGCTGGTGACTCTCCCAAAATGGGGCAATGCTCAGCGCTAGAGATGTTTTTGCTTTTGGCCCCTTTACACAACCAGAGCAGCACAGAGGGTCTGGAACAAGGAAAAGAATCTGGTTAAGTATATCTGAATTTATCTTCATAATGTTATTACTATAAGTAAATTATCTGCCAATTCAGAAATAATATAAATTTGCTGTTAACTTTTTATATTATAGTGGTATTAGCTGCACCTTGCACGCTATATGAACCAAAGTAATTTTATTTAACTCTAAGGAAACTTTCTCTAAAGGGTAAGTATTCACTATAGTTTCCCTTCCTTGGGCTACTTTACTTAAAGTGATATATGGTATCAAGAGTGATTTCAAGCCACAAACCTCTGTGTGTATGTTAGATGCTGTAATTATGGGCAGTTCCTACACAGATTTTATTTCACCCACCACTAAAATGCAGCCATCTCAGGAGTGAAATATAGCTATTTGACAGTGTATGGTAACCCTGCACAGTTAATCCTCATTTCTCAATATTTTGAAGATTCTGTTTAATGCAGAAATGGATATCTGCCTCCATCCTAGTCATGAAGAAGATTTCTGTTATGGGGCAACTCTAATTAAAAGTGTAAGACATTTTCCTTTTAAGGTTGATTTTTTAATACAAAGATATTAAGCTTCTTAAAATGAAGTTTAAACCTTAATTATGACAGAAACAGATTCAAGAGTCATAACAGTTCTTAGGGAGGCTGACCAATTAAACTTTAATTATGAACCATTAAGGAAAATATATATCAGTAAACTTTGTATAAAAAAAAATTCTGACAAACTATATTTGGATGCCAGTATTGTATGTAATTACCAAGCACATTCTGCCATGTTCATTTTTAATCTGATTGGTAGAAAAAAAAGAGCTTTTGTTTAATTTAGAAATACTCTCTTCAAGTCAATGTCTGTATCTGATCCAAATTTGGCTGCTTATGCAAATAGCTATGAGTGCTTATGCATGCTCTTGCTTCAGTCACAAGAGTCTTTTCAAACTGGTTTGTCACACTCCTTAGAAGGCTAAACCCCTTGCCACTAGTTAGGACAAATCTTGAGTCTTTCTCTCTAACTGATGTCAGAAAAATATAGATACTTTGAAATTATTCCTGGCTCACTTTCTAAGGCAAAGAAAGAGGCCTAAAATACCGATCAGTCCCACACTCCTCCTTTGAAGTGAAAGACAACTCTCATGAGAAATCTCTCAAGAAAAATGTAAGGAAGCACCCAACGCGGGGCACCAGAAAATGTACTGCTAGCTAAGCAAGCCTGATTTACTACCCTGTAGCTTGTTAGTCTCCCTCAGTGCCACAAGGGGACAGGCTTCAGCCATTTCTCATACAGTAACAAGATACCACCAAGGAAAATGAATCTGACAAAATGATCCCCATAGATCCGTCTCTCATCCAAAGTAAGGGTAATGCAAATTGCCATAGACTGAGCTTCAAGACTATGTACTAAAATATACTGTATTAAAATTTTCAATCAACGGGAGATACAACTCCCCACTTCTTTGTACCTCCTAAATAACACATCTTGTGAAGAACTAGAAAACCTGCAGAAACCTTCTAACTCCCTTCCCAAAATTAGATCAGCTGATCTACTCACTGGCCAATTTAGGGGCAGGCCTTATAAGAATATTTGCTATCCAGGGATCAGTCTTACAACTCCACATGCTGTTCTCAGGCTTTCTGCAGAATTACCATTACAAAAAGTACTATGGTGATTAAACTCAGATCAAGACTGTCAGTGCCTTGCTTCTTCTTCACACTCTTATCACCTATTTCTCTCTATCCTTTAGGAAAGAGTGAGGAATCCAATGAATCAGAAAGGTGCTTTGGCAATGCATGCACCCTCTCTTGAGGAGAAAGGGGAGAAAATAGTTCAAGTATTGCCAACTCTGCAATTCTTCTAGTAGAAAATATCCTGTGTACTTAATAGAGTAAAATCAACATTCAATGATCTACTATACTTCAGCTGAAAAGGGGGGAATAGGTTGTTTCCTGTTCAACTGCATATGACAATGGCAGGTGTAGCCATATAGTGCTCTTTCTTACACACTTAGATCTTTCATTAACAATTGTTAACCACCAATGATGAACTGCTCAAGATCACAGAACATGGGCTTAACAAGCCTATAAAGAGTTGCTCATGGATGTTCAATATAGCCCTATTGAGAGAAGATGGTTCCTGTATTACAGAGAGTATTTACTAACTGACCGTACACTGGGTAGACTTGTGAAGGAGATGAGATTTTGAGGCATTTCTGAGTAGTGCTTTAGGGTTAGCACTTTGAAACACACGACTACTTAAACCTTACCTGTGTAAGGATTATTTAGAATGATCTCAGTCAAGAACTGTATTAATCATAAATGCATTCTAACACACAAGTGACAATGGGCAGCCTTCAGTCTTAGCTCTAGTCTTACAAGGCAGTCATGGCTGCTCCCTATGTAGTGCTATTAGACAAGGTGTCATGAATGAATTCTCTTTCCAAGTTGAGTTACAACTCTTTCCTCCCTCTGGTTTGTCATACATAGCTTGGAATCTCTCGCTGTGTCTGTCTGTCCAGGTTTTTCTTCTTCGGTTTCCTTAGCAGAGATACCTCCCTTTTACCTTTGTAGTCTCCAAAGAGTATGACTATTCTGAGGATGCTTACCTTGGAAGAAAGAGAAAATCACTTAACTGTAATTGTAGTTTCCTAAAAACAGTGTCCTCAGATCTTCAGCAAGACCGCACCATAACTCAGATCCACTATCTATGTCAGGGGTCGGCAACCTTTGAGAAGTGGCGTGCCAAGTCTTCAGTAATTTAAAGTTTCGCGTGCCAAAATAAATTTTACATTTACAGGGGCCCCCGACAGAACCCCAGACTGGGGTCCCGTCCGCCGGCCCCGCCCCATCCATCCAGGCCGGCAGCGGGCTGAACGGGGCCGAGACCCCGGCTGGCAAGGGGCCGGCAACCTGACGCCGATCTGGGATTCTGCTCAGCCTGCTGCCAGCCGGGGTTCTGTTCACCCAGGTCGACAGTGGGCTGAGTGGGGCCGGCGGCCAGGACCCTGGCTGGCAAGGGGCTGGCGGCAGGACCCCCAGACCGGCGGCGGGCTGAGCGGCTCAGCCAGGCCAGCAGCGGGATCAGCGGGGCCGGCGGCCGGGACCCCAGACCGCCAGCACAGGCGGAACCCCAAACCAGTAGTGCACTGAGCTGCTCAGCCTGCTGCCAGTCTGGGGTTCCGTCCGCTGGCCCCGCTCAGCCCACTGCCAGCCCGGGGTTCCCTCCATTCAGGCTGGCAGCAGGCTGAGCAGTGCCAGCGGCCGGGACCCTGGCTGGCAAGGGGTCGGCGGCCAGAACCCTACACCGGCAGCTGGCTGAGTGGGGCCGGTGGACGGAACCCCAGACCGGCGGCGGGCTGAGCGGCTCAGCCAGCTGATGGTCTGGAGTTCCGGCCGCTGGCTCCTGGCCATCAGCCCTGCTCAGCCCGCTGCCGGCCTAGGATTCTGTTCACCTAGGCAGGCAGGGGGCTGAGCGGGGCCGGGAGCCGGGATCCCGGCTGGCAGCAGCGTGACAGTAAAAATCGGCTTATGTGCCACCTTTGGCACGCATGCTGTAGGTTGCCGACCCCTGATCTATGTATCTGTCACACACCAAAGCCAGTTAAGATGGCCAGTCACCTGCATCCCCCTCCAAAACTAGTTATAGTATAAAGAAATAAACGGAGAAAATGCCAGCCAGTGCATAGAAAGAATTTCTCTAGACAGCCACATCAAATCTGATGCAATCATCAAAACAGACCAACACCAGAACCTTACTCACCCTCATGCTTATCAGTGCAATATCTGTGATCAGTATGCCCCAATATTATGGCCCAACCTAATCTGCATCATGGCTCCCTAGCTGAATGACACAGTAGGACAGCTGTTAGGTCACCTCTCCACACCCCCTGTCACTAGATCTAGGGGCAACTAATCTGAAGGTGGAATTGCCATTCGTTTCCTTTCTCACCCACTGCTGCCCGTGCACCAGTGTTCAGTGCTTTTCAACCAGATGTGTAGCAAGTAAGTTGTGTGATTGCTCTTTCTTTTTAAAGCATATCCCATCACTATGCATGTTTTTATGTTATGGAGCATTAGAGAAGAGGTTTGCAGAATTGATGAGAGACAGAGGTCACACACATAATTAGAACTGAAAAAAGATTAGTGGTATGCAAACAAAGAAAGGGATAACACATGGATGGTTCTAAAACATGTTTT